AAAGCCACTTTGCTCTTGATGTCTGCGAAGCAGAACAGGGAACAGCACCAGAGAAGAATAGGCAAAGGACCAGATATAGTAGCCATGGTCACACCTCTATGCTATACTTATGATCATGCAGAGAGTGTCCTTTAATAAACCCTTGGTGGCTCCCAAGCCAAGGAAGTTAATGTTTAAGACTCATCATCACTATTACTCAATTCCGCTTACTTTTGTTTTTTATAAACTGAATGATAACAGCCCTACAAGTGATAATATGTGGAACATTTGCAGACCAGTCAAACCTATTCTTCCCCCAGAATGCTTTTCTTTCTATGTCTTCATATTGATCGTGCTGAAATCCGTGCCTTACCTTACTTGAAAATGTGCATGCATATGCTCCTTCTGTTGTTAGTCAAGATTTAACATACACCATGACCAAGAAAGAAGAGTAGGATATTTTCCAGTTCTAATAATAAGAATAAATAGTTCTGACATAAAATGCCACCCTGACATATGCAGAGTTCATAGCCTAACATTTATGAATACATTTTGAAGATCTATATTTTTGAAGGATATTATTTATATTACATAGTGCACATACCATAAGTGTGCATCTCCGTAGATTTTCATAAAGAGAGTGAATTCAGGTAGCTAAAAATGAGACTGAGAAATTAAAGATCACATGTAACCCAAAAACTATACTGTTAAGCTCTATTTCCAAAATAATCACCAGTCCAATCTAAATATCTAAAAATAGATATTTAACATTAGGAATTAATTTTCCTCACCTTTGAACTCTACATAAGTGTAATTACAAAGTAGGAGTCTACAGTATCTGGCTTATTTTACTCAAAATCCTGTTGAAGAGATTTATTCCTCTTGTTCATGTAATTTGTTCTATTCCAATACATTATTGCCCTATGTAAAGGTAACATGATTTATTTTTTTATTCTACTGTTACCATGCATTTGGGTCATTCAAAGTTGGGGCTTTTAAAAATAAAATTGTTATAAATTTCCTTTTATCTGTTTTTTGGTAAACATATGTACATGTCTCTATTAAAGTTCAAATTATTGGAAGATAGGATTTATATTTAGTATTAAGGATACTGATGTTTTTGAAAGTTACGGTATTGATTTATAGTGCCATAAGTGCTGCTTCAGAGTTCAGTTTCTTCACATTTATACAAACAGGTGAAATTGTCAATGAACTGTGCTTTATCATTCAGAATTTAATCCTTTTAGCACATGATGTCATTTCCTTGTAATATTACTTTACACTTTACTAATAGCTATAGCCATTGAGGGCATTTCATATGTGTATTGGCCATTTTGTACAGTATCGTTTCAAACCTTTTGTCCATTTAAAAAATTATCTGTCTTTTCCTAAAATATTCTTTATATGGGTATCTTTTCTATTGAATTTATTTAAATATTTTTTCCATGCAGCGTCTTATTTTTACATTTTCTACTAATGTTTGACAAATCTCATCTCTAATTTTAATGCAGTTCGCTCATCAATTTTTTCACTTTATGTTCTATGGCTTCGTGTGTATGTCATGGTTAAGATAAGTTTGGACAGCCCAAGTTCAATAAGATAGTCTGTGTTACCTTCAAAAATCTTCACTTTTATTCATTTCAATGAAAGCATGCATCAGGGGTTCATTTATGTATGATCTGAGGTTTAAATAATGATAGGTTTTCTCCATATGAATATTTAATTGTCTAGAACCATTTATTGAAAAGAGTAGTCTGCATGCATTGCACTGAAAGATAACTTTTGAAATACAAATATCTGGATATAGAAGATCTTGCTTGTGGTTTCTCTATTCTATGCCTTTGGCTTAACTTTCTACATTGTGTCATCACCATTTTGAAAAAATATCATTATATAATAATGTTTGATAGATGGTTGTATGTCATCTGACTTTGATCTTCAAGATTAAATGGGTAATTTGGCTTATTTCACCAAAATAATTTGCTGTGATTGGGTTCATAACTGATTCATTTGGGCAAAATTGACACTTTTTCAACATTAAATTTTCCAAACAAGGTACATTATATATTTTGTCATTTGTTTACACTCTTCATTAGTTCTATTTTTCAATAATGATTTGCAGTTGTCTATATGATATATAATAAATTATATGTCTTTAGATTTATTGTCTTTGATTCTTTATTTCTACCATGTATTGTATTACTTATTAATCTCTATTTTTCTAAAACATATACATACATAATTGATATTAACATTTTTATGTTGTGTTTATAGCAACTTAGAAAATTTACTTATCAAATGTAGCAGTTTCTCTGTATAATCTTTTCAGTTTATCATGTATAAAAAGACATCGTCTGCAAATCTGTGTCTTATAGTTTTGTGTTCTTTATAATTGCACATATGCTTTGCACTGACTTATCTCACTGACTATATTTTCAGTCAAATATGTTAGAATTCTTGTATTATTGATGAAAGACAAAGTTTTCAGTACTTTATCAGATGTGAAATGTGCTCAGATACTTTATAGCAGTGAGCTTGAACCTTCTAGAACTTTCTACAATACAGACAGCCCGCTGAGGCACACATGCTATAGATTCACCATTACTGCTCTATAGGCTTGTGCCACCACACCTGATTTCTATACAAAATTAATTTAAAAAATGTGAAGGGGTCAATAAACTCTACCAAAACAGCCAGATTTTGAGAGTTCAGGCTTTCTGTGAAAAAGAAAAGGAAAGCATTCTGAGATGAATCTTGTGTTTGGTGGTGCTTTTTGTCTCATAGCATTTACTGATTTCCCAATGGCAGAAGACAAAGAAGTGAAAATATTAAGTAGAGGTTTGTAGATGAAATCTTAGAATCTGATGCAAGTCTTCCACAGTCTTAAGGAAATGAAGTTGCAAAAATTAGAGTTTGGCGCTTCCCAAAACAGCACAGACTAAAGACCAAGACACCAAACCAGAAGGAAGTCAAATGAGGTGCACCTCAAATTCAGCAGCTAAGGAGAAAAGCTTTCCACAATCTCATGGAGGAGGGGACACAAAATTTAAATTAAAAACCAACCAAGGGAGAGAATCTATGAAGCATAATCCAGACTCTAAAATGAAATTCTGAAAAGAAGAGCACATGAATCAACCTCATATTATTTGTACAATTTTCATACATAAGGTCTGGAATTCAGTAAAATTATTAGGAATGCTAGAGGACAACAATAAAAAACTAAACATAAGAGAAAAGCAACAACAGTACCAGGGATTCAGATAACAAAATCAAGAGATTTATACTTTAAAATAATTACAATAGATTGTTTAGATAAAATAGAGAATAGGAGAATTCCACTAGAAAACTTAAATCTAATCAAGAAAACACATTGAAATTTAAGAACTGAAAAAATAAGTGAAATATATTAAATATTTCACATATGGATTTAACAGAAGAATGCATGTAATAGAAATGACCACTGCATCAACTACAGAACATATATTCTTTTCTTTTCCCTCATTGAGCTTATTGGTACATTTTAGGTACACAGTACAGTTACATTCATTACTGGGATCTTGTACCTTTACATGACAGGTCTTGTCTCATTTTTTTAAGAACTGAAAAAATAAGTGAAATATATTAAATATTTCACATATGGATTTAACAGAAGAATGCATGTAATAGAAATGACCACTGCATCAACTACAGAACATATATTCTTTTCTTTTCCCTCATTGAGCTTATTGGTACATTTTAGGTACACAGTACAGTTACATTCATTACTGGGATCTTGTACCTTTACATGACAGGTCTTGGTTCTCATTTTTTCCCCTTGTCTCTGCCCTCCCTTCACTCCCTCCACCCTTTCCTATGTACGATGATTTTGTTTCCATTCTTTAATTTTCTCATATTTTTTCTTCTCCCTTATTTCCTTTCCCCTACATTCCCACTTCCCCTACACCTTTAGCCCTTTTCTTCATATTTCATATTGTCAGTTTCACTGTGAAAACCAAAAAATAGAAAAAGTATATCCCAATCACCTTCACTCAAGAGGCTGAGGCAGGAGGATCACCAGGAGATGGAAGTCAGCATGAGTTACCTAATGAGTTCAAGATTGTCCTGCATGCATGGCAAGAGACCTGTGTCAATAAAACACTAACTACTACTACTACTACTACTACTACTACTACTACTACTACTGCTACTACTACTAGCACTAATTTTGTGTAGCTTTGCAATTTTTTCCCAGAAGACGTTATTGGAAATTAAAGACACTCAATAAATTTAAATTTCTTCATTGCATTTTTCATTTGTAGAATAAGGAAATAATATCTGCTTGCCCTACCTTATAATATATTTTGAATATTAGAAAACATCATGAAAATTCAAAATCACCATCTCCTTGAATTAACATTCTTTTTATTTTGAAACTCTTTTCTTTATGTTAAACTCCTATAAGGAGCCAAATTTTCTAAATTTAGTGCAAGATTTTAAAATGACATTTCCTGAATTGGTATCTTAAATTATGTATTATGATTTGTTTCTAAAAAGAAAGATATGAGTTTGTAGTGTTCCCCATGTCTGCATTATATTCCATTAAGAAATACCCTTAAGTCATGGGAAATGATGCTTTCTTTTTTTATTACCTTTTCATTTCTGGTTTCCCTCTTGAATACACTTTTTCTGAATTTTCTTGTCATTTGCTTTCTGGGTAAAGCAGTAAATTTTCCCAGTGAATCCCACTGCATCCACACCACTTTGAAGACCTGAGAATATACTTTCTGCTCCCTAAATATAACTGCTTTCGCAGAAGCTCGTGGATTACCTTGTTTCACACCTTTCATGACACTGGTGCTTTTCCTAGGTCATCTCATAAGGTTACCAGGTTTATCTCCTTTATATTTTCTTATTTCTGTGCTGCTTCCGCTGTAAACTATTGTGAACCTTCCCTTACCCATCTTTTGATCATCAGCAGTTTGTGATGTTTGAAGCGTCAAGAACCCTCTAGTGATGACGTCATTTTCAGCCATAGCCGTGGACCCAGTACCCTCTGACTGTGGCACATTGTCTGTCACCTGCATTAAGAAACACTCCGCAACACCCAGATTTCGACTACATTTTCTGGATGTTGGCATCTGAACTTTCTTGACAATGGGACTATGATTCAGCGGGTAAGCCAGATAAAGAGAATTCAGCACATGAGAACTGCCCTGCTTCGGGGTGCTCCTGCCATTGATGTCTAGTGTTTCCGTTCCGTGCCATGCTCCTTTCAAGCCTCTTCTTGTGAATCCTTGTATACTTTATATGAGTGTATGCATCTATTTTCTTTTCATTATTTAGATTTTAAGTAATCGCTCCAAGGTCCAACTCTTATCAGAAAATCTAGGTCCCCTTAGGGGACTGGTTCATCTTTAGTGTCATGTTCATCTTTAGCCTATAAACATTCAACGCATGCTCAGTAGATGATTCCTAAAAAGAGCTCAATGAGACGTTTATTGAACTGTTTGTGAGGCACTTCTGCGAAGTGCTTTGGAAAAATCAAATAATTATTAAACTATAATTTTATTATTTTGTAAGGGTCATTTGTCTCCTTCCTCTTTTTTTAATTCCAAGCTCCCTTCAGGTTGCTTCACCAGGAATGTAGCAGATCTTTTAAATTCTGCATACTTATTGAAAGTGTACTCAACTTGACAAGGTCTTGAAAATCTGATTATGTTAACAGAATCTGTATATCTTTCTCTGTAAATATTCTTAAATGAACTTAAAAGTAGTATGTGAGCTTGTGGTATACGTATTACATATTCTTGAGTAATTCTTATTACAAATCACTTTTTCTCAATCTAGATCTTAGGGAGGAAACATATTTGACCTATTTTCTTTTAAGTGTGTATATTCTTTATTTACATGTAAGACGTCTTAGTTGTACGATGACTATGGTATTTCTGATTTAGTAAAGCCATTCTTGCCTTATTGTGATTCTGTATCAATCTAGTGATTCCCATCAATCTTCTCATTGTTATCTTCTTGTCATTATTGTTTCAGTTCTGGAAGGCATGGAAATATCTTTTAAATTTGTCAATGATAATAATTATAAATATTTGTTAATTGTTATAAATCACTGTTATTTTACTTGTAAAAATTGCTGATTGAACATGTAAATTACAAGTGCATATACAGATAGAAATTATTGTACTCAGTAGTGGGGTTTGATTGTAACTGGGAAGACAAGAAAAAAATTTAAAAACCACATGCATAATAAAATGAACATTCATCGTGCCAAAAAGTGATATTTTATTAATAACGATTCTTCAAAGCATATAACTGGGTTTATGCCTTTTTTGGTGTGTGTATTATATTTCATTATTCTTTATAATAAAAGAAAAATAATATTACAGGAAAAAAGAGGCAATAGAACATAATTGAAAATATAATAAATTTTAAAAAATCATAGCTTTGTCTTAGCCTTGATATTTATCAAATGCATGTCCTTATGTAAATCACCTGTTTGAACATCTGTGTCTTCAACTGTTAAACAAAGCTAAATATAATATTCAAGGATTTGTTCTTTTGATTTATCAGGCTAAAGTTAAGAGTGGTACTTGTACCTTTAACAGTGAAGTACCTCTCTTACGTCCTCAGTTCCTGTTATTTTGTGCCTTCTGCCTGTTCGCATCAGCATACAAATTGATCATTCCTGTTACAATGAGCCGATTATGATGGTGATATTGACAATACAGCACCATCAGTTGGGAATTATTATTCAATACAATATATCTCAATATCTCTTAGGTTTTTCTAACTGTTGATGTTTCCTGAAAACTATTAATTATACCTCCTTTTCAAGCACTAAAGCAATTGAATAGCAGGTGTAAGCATGTGAGAGAGCTTAAGAACATCAGCTCTTCAGTTGGAAAGTTGGACTGGGTAAAGTAAGCATAGTGAGATTCATGGCAGTTTTTTTCTCCTGAATTTAGATGCCATTCTTCATTTACACGTCGATAAAGTACTCAGATGAGACACCTTGTCAGCTGCATGGGACAACTTCAGAGTTCTCTGTAAATATCTTTGTGTTGAGAGAACTTCCAAACTCTGAACATCTTGGACTGCAAACCTGCTTCTAGAAGAAAACCAATATCTCCAGACAGAAGTGCAAGTGCATGCAGAATGCTTTCATCCCACTTACAAGAGGTCACAGACAAAAGGGACAGGAACCACCACTGTAGGCTTCCCTCTGGAAGGATGTGGCCCATGTGCTTACTTTTCTCACTTCTCTGGATTCTGCCTCCTGCAGAGAAGTATGCGTATAGGTTACAGCAGAGTGCAGAGTTGTTCCAAAACAGTTCTCTTCTAGAGAGTGACGTGTACATCAGCTTTGTGGAAACTTGAGAGGAAGAATGTGGCTCTTTCTAAAAGAAGTTATTATTTTTTCCAATTATAGATACAATCGCTAGGCCTTGTTGTGCCTAGGTCATTTGTATAAACTCTGTCATAAGGACTGAGTGTAGAGCAAGGATTCAAATGCAAATTTTCTATTCCATAGTCATCATCTTTCTTTCTCTTTTTTTTTTCCTTTTTCCCCTTCCTTCCTTCCTTCCTCTCTCTCTGGTTATGGTTTTTTTTTTTTTTTTGCTACCGGGGTCCTCGAGCTTGCGAGGTAGGCGGCGAAACCACTGAGCTAAATCCCCGGCCCGGTTTTGGTATTGTTTGAGTCAAAGCCCAGGCTAGCTTCTAACTTGTAGCGATTCTCTGTCTCAGCCTCCCAAAAGCTGAGGTTATATATTTAAAAGTAGATGAGTCGATTCCCAGTACAAAAAAAAATTTAAAAATGTAGATGAGAAAGCAGTTATGCAACACAGTTACTATGACCAAAATGTTTTGGGACACTATAGCTACAGAGGATCGTTAACCAGCATAGATATTTATCTATTTTTGAGGGTCATTTGAAGATAAAATTAACTAATGCACAATACAGTGATTTATAAACTTGAAGCTATGAACATATTGCTGTTATTACTATAAATAATGTTTCCCTAAATCAACTTCAATACTATAAGGCTAATGATTCTTGCATTGGCTACATCTCAGACTGCTGTGAGGATTACATGTAGTGATGTAGCTGAAAATTCTTTGTAAGCTGCAAGACACTGTACAAATGAAGGTTACCGTTATTGACTTGTACATTAATTGTTAGTCCTCAAACACAAAGTAGTTAATGCTTTAATAATGAAAATTTGAACTACAAAAATCTGCTAGAGAAAGCTCTTGTAGAGGTTGAGACCATAACTTCAGATGCACAAAATGTGGCTGTAAGACTGATTAGACTAATAGAACATTGCATTTTATTGATTTTGTGGTTTCTTTCTACTTTCCAGCTCAGTATGCAGAGAAGCTAAAAGGTGTGGACATTGGAAAACATTCATAGGAATCTAATTCATCAGGCTGAAGTCTCTCTTGCTAAACAAAAAAGTGAATCCTCAGCCAGGAGCTTAGGAATTACTTGGGATGAGAATATCACATCGTCACTTTCACCTAGTACACCACAATCTGAAATTTCAGGTTTCAAAATTACTGCTTTATAGGAAGTTAAAAAACAGTGACTCACTATATCAGTAAGAGGATATATGCTTACTGGGTTTCTATAATAAACTAGTGAAGTTTCCTATGATAGTATTTATGATATACTTAATATATTTAGTGCTGTAATTACCATGCTATAAAATAATTATTGTTTAGAAAAACAAAAATGCTAGACATCCATGGAGTTTTCTGTTTGATGTTTGTGCATTTTTTCTTCTTATATTTAATTTTCTGTTCACCTTCAGTGTATTCTCTGGATTTATTTGTTTACTCAATAGTAATTATTTTTTTGAGACAGGGTCTCACTATGTAGTTGAGACTGACCTGGAATTTACTATGTAGCCCAGGCTGGTCTTGAACTCACAGCGATCCTCCTGCCTCAGCCTCCCGGTGCTGGATTACAGGCATGTGCCACCATGCCTGCACTCAATGGTTATTTTAAAACAGTGTTTAATCTAGCAAATACTCTGCTAAATTCTGAGTACTTAATGGACATGGGATAATGTGGGTTCTTTATATCATGGTGCTTATTTTTTAATGGGAGGAGTTAGGAACAAATAAATAGGTAGAAATGGAGAAAAGAGTTTCTAAGATAACAGGATAATGGGGCAGGTGCTGCTGAGGAACAGATAGTTACTTGGGAAGCCATCTGAAATGGTTGCATTTCATCAGATATATAGAGAGAAAATTACCGAACACAAATAATGTAGTAATGGCTCTTGGATGAGAGAACTGTGATAAAGTGTAAGAAAGAGTTGAGACTTCTTGATTCAAATTGTTTTTAAAAAATGGGATGTATAGAACATATCAACAGTGTAGCTCTCACACTGTACAGATTATGCAGTACTGGCATGTGATTGGCAACAAGTCTAATAAGAGTAATTGTGAGCTCTAAAAAATACATGAAAGAACACAAGACAAGATGAGGTGTACTTTCATTATCAACCAGGTTATCAATCCTGACTCTAATGTGCAGTTTGATATATGTGCCCTGGGATAAGAGCAGGGCTGTAGCCTTTAACTGGTCAGACTTGGTGGAAGCGACCAACCCAGACTCAGGGGCCAGTGCAGCTGAAATTTAGTCCATGTCTAATCAAACTGTGCATCTTTCTTTCTTTTTTCTTTTCTTTTTTTCTTTTCGTTTTTTTGAGACAGGGTCTCACTATGTAGTTGAGACTGACCTGGAACTCACTATGTAGCCCAGACTGGTCTCAAACTCACAGCAATCCTCCTGCTTCAGCCTCCTGAGTGCTGGGATTATAGGCATGCGCCACCACGCCTGGCCGTGGGGTGAATTTCTTCTGGAGGAAGAGACTACTCCTATCCAGTAGGAGAGATTTATCTCTAACACCTGTGTGTTAGCTTCCTGTCACTATAACAGAAACAATCAGCTGAGAGAATCAATTTATGAGGAACGGAAGGATTTTGGTGCATCGTTTTAGCAGTTTCCATCAGTCCATGGTCAGGTGGAACAGCTGAAACCATTACATCATAGCAGGAGGGTATGGTAGAATAAACCCACTTACCTCATCATCCAGAAAGGAAAAAAGAGAAAGAGGGAGGGGCTAGGGTCCTGTTATGTCCTTTTGAGAGCACACTTCCAGTGCTATAAGGACTATCTGCTGAAGATTTAAAAATCTCTCAACAGTACCACCTTGGTGACCAAATCTTTAAAGTATGGGACTTTGTGAGGTATTCAAGTTCCAAACCATAATATTATACAGAGACATGTGCCATAAAAAATACCCTCGCTTTGGGATACCGAGGGAAATGGTGCTGAGCAACCAACCCCACTATAGGCCATACCACATATGTTGTCAACCCTTAGGTGAAATCCAGACCATACTATGAGGAGCAGAGATTTTTGAGAGCAGTTTTTCTACATATCAGATATTTTTAGATTGTTTATTGCAGAAACCCTTATGAAAGCTCATTTGGACCATTGCACTAAACCTCAAGAATTCAGATCTATTGAATAAGCACTTAGAGTTACATTCTTTTATAGACATATGAGGAGACCCTTTTGCACATTAAAAATATAAAATAACTACTCTGGGGACATCAGTTTGTTCAAAAGATATAAACCAAACCTTGTGCTCTTTCTTAACACAGAATGGAGACAAAAATTGCCATGGTTCCATAACTTTCCTAAGAGATGAGGAGACTCTAAACCTGTTAAGGGCACTGAAATACCCCCTTGCACTTCTATTCTCCTGTAAGAACTTTCTCCAAAGTTTTCCCGATACTTGGTAAGAAAGGGAAATGATTAATGGATGCTCATTTACAGGTGAACGAGATCTATAAGATTTAAAGGCATTTGCAGTAAAATATCCAATAGAACAACTTACTCCAAAGTGTCCTGACTCCTCACGGCTTCCTCCTGGAGAGCCCACCGCCCCAACCCCCACTTCACCGGTGAGGCCTTGTCCCTGGAGCTACCTTGACCGATCTACCATGTCCCCAATGCTCCTCTCCGTCCCAGCCACGGGACACTGTTCACACCTCCCTGGGACCTAACTCCAGTCTGCTGTTACCTTGGTCATTTATTTGTTGACTCTTGTTTTCTGTATATCCCACTGGGTGGTGCATAATACCAGAATCTCAACTTCATCCCCTGCCTTTAGAAGTGGCAGATCCAGCGTTTGGCTTGGAGGAGGCCATCAGTGTACACTTGTTATATAAATAAGCACAGAGACCTGGACTTCTGTATGGGCTCAGGGCTGAGATATCTACTTGCTTTCTTTTAATTTTGTTTTGACGTGATGATTCTTCATTATAGCAATGTTGTTAGTGAAGATTGCTTTAGTATTAAGGAAAAGTCTTAGAGTGCTTCAGCAGTAAATCAGAGCAGTGTTCTTGGGCATCTCTGGAAAGTGTGTCTAGTTAAAGAATTCAGTATCTAGAGACACAGAAATTGCTGGAATAAATGCCTTTTCTGGTATTTTAATTGCTAATTTGTAATGAAGACCCATGAAAGCAACCTGATGTTTGCATAGCTTCTCTGTACTGTTTAGGGAGCAGACTCCTCCTGCTTTCCTAAAAAAGATGCATGTCTGGAGGGAGGCGAAACAGTCATTAATCCTGGAAGATATTTGTCCTCCTTTCTTTTGACATTTTATTGCCCTTTAACTCATTTGTGAAAGATGTCAAAGCAGAATCAGACCAGGGAATAAAAGGCTTTTCATTAAAATGGCCAATCTGCATTAGACCTCTGTTTTCCCGCAAAAAATCTTTTATGGATACATGAGGAGAGAATGTATGAAGAAAGAAAATTAGGTAATTTTTAAATCAATGAAGTAACACAGTTCAACTGTCTGGATTTAATTTAGGAATATAAAGTATCTCCAAGTGGATATTATAAAATTGTTCCTAGCCCAAAACATTAACAAGATTAAAAAGAAATAGTTCCATCAGTGATATAGCCTATTGTTTAGAACATAGGAAAAACAAAGGTAACACTCAGTCCCACAGGTTGAGGACAGTGAGAGCAGCTCTTTTTTTTTCTATTTGTTCTTAACTCTTTTCTTTTTGCAGTACTGCTTTCTGCTAAGGATTTGGGGACATGCATACAGAAAGACTCTTCTTGTGAAACAGGCATCAGGGTTATGGTGTCAGGAGATTTTGAGCTAGGATATTGATGACGATGATTTGCTATCTACTTGAGTATTTTTATTTAATTTCTTTTATTAGAATATATTTCTATGAAATTATAATCGTGTTTCTTCTATTAGTCTTAATTTTAATTAGGTAAAATTATAAATACATAAAAATTAAAAATGGGAAGCAAAATCACTTAAAATAACTTGAACCAGGGATAAACATTGATATTTCAGTACATCCTCTAACATTCTGTGTTTTCAGGATTTGTACAGTTGTAGTCCCAAGTGTCTATAGTTTTCCTAGTACATGAGTGTAAAATGAGGTCACGCTCATGTATTCGAAAGATAATCACTGAGGTCTAGGATCTACCAAACACTATCTCAGACAGAAGGACCTAACAGTCACCAAATACCAAAAATCTCTTCCCCGATAGAATTTATCAAGAAGTGAGGCCATAAACTTCAATACCTTATTTGAGTCTTTCTTCATAGGATCTACCACTTTTCTTTAGGATCTCTCAAGTCTGGCTTGTGCTCAGTAGCATGACTGTTATCCTTCCCAACTCCCAGTCTTTCCTTCGTCCTCTCCCACCTTTCCAGAGGAGCTGATGTCTCTCCTTTGGAGATTGCCTCTGTGCTGAATATAGCCCTGCTTGGGGCTCACTGTGGCTCCAGGAGCCGGACTCTTTTGTGACTCCCTGGGGAAGTTTTAGGGTTGAACACATTAAACAACCTTGGTGACTTGGTTTCAGCAGATAATTTCTAAATATTTTCTTTTGCATGGAGAAAAGGTTGAGCCCTACTGAGGAAGGTGGTGATCTGTACAAATCATCCAAGTCATTTATCTCTGGTTCCAGCCTTACATTCCCTCTTCTACACTAAAGATTCCCCAAGTTAGCTGGATCACCGTCTTTATAAGGTGGCTTAGCATTCCACAATTATACATATGTGTTCCTTGGAGATTTTAAAGTTAATACCAGAGGCTTGTCAAAACATTCCTTTCAAGCATATGTAATACTTTACTTGAAAAGATGTCTGATTAATTACATTTTCTCTATCTCATTACATTTTATGTGGTATTCTAGCTGCCCTGTTAATTCAGAACTCTGAGTAGCTGCTGAAAAGTCCCATTCTTTAATCTGGCTTTTTAGCTGCCACTCACTGTCCTTGAAGAAGGGAAGAATATTTATTCCTTGTCTCTCCAGTCCAAGAGCAGGGCAGACCTGTTCCTTAATTCTATACAAGGCTGTGATGACTTGACACTTATAGTAAAAC